TCGGGGCCTTTTATAATATCTTACTATACGATATGGGTTTTTCTCGTTGTTGAAGGCTGTACGGTGACCTATAATTGATTTATCTATGTCATTTGAACTCTGGTAGATAGTTGTTTCATTGGCAGTTATACCACATCTCCTTATTTTTTATATTAGCATTTTTGAATAGAGATTACATAAAATTTGAACCCTACAAAGGATATATATTTCTTGGTGCCATAAGGCAAGTCAATAAGTCCTTTGGATATTTTGTTTTCATAGCAAAAATGTATAATTATTGATGTTTTACTACAAATATATTCAATATGTAAAAGTTTAAGAAGTTCTTTTTTTTTTTAGATCTTTGCCAAAAAATTATCTGAAAACTAATTTGTTACTTCTTGTCCTTTAATTTGTTCTTGTGACCTTCTATCCTAACTTCTTATTGATGAATGTAGGAGGAAAAGTCACAGAAAGTAAAGTCACAATAATAATTTTATAAGTTATAAAATTATTGTTGAATTATTTTTTACCTTGTATTTGTACTTTCTTTTATTTTAAGATTTTCTTTTAAACAATCATTAAAATGTTTAAAAGATATTAATTGTATTTAACTTTTTTTTTCTTTTATGAAACTAATTGAAAAATAGATGAAAAACCAACTTTATTTCCGGTGCTTAGAAATACCACACATTTTGATTTTTTATACAATACAAGACCCACAAAACAAAAACACTAGAACATGCTGAAATAATATATTCATGTACAACAAGTATCATTGTGTATCATCGCCACCGGAAATTGGGTACCAACGAAGCGGAGAGAAAGGAGAATAAAATAAACAAGGTAAGAAATACTTTAATCTAAACCCTTTCTACCTTTTTGATGAGGTTACCGCTTACGAAACGATTTTCTGATAGATAGTGGCTTAATTTTTTTTTATGCCAACAAGAGGCGAACAAAGACAAGGTTTTGTGTTATACTTCAAAACTGTGCACTTGGTACCAGAAAATTTCGAGGTCGATCGCTACCGACGTCCCGCCTGCCAGATATTCAACTGTTTCTCATTTTTTTCCTGTCAAACTTTTAGATTATGATAGTGTGACTTCATAATCACTGAAATTCGCTATCAAAAGGATGTTTTCTAAAGAATATGGACCAAAACAGTTATTGTTTTCAGTACGGCGAATTGCAGGGCGTTGTACGGCGAATTGCAAAATTTATAACAACTTGTTTTCTGTACGACGTCTTGTAATGTAAAGATGATATGAATACCTATATAGATAATAACAAGGGTGATATGGTGTACATATCAACGCTTACAAATATGCGAAATAAAATACATATCAAACAATATCATAAAATTGAAAGGAAAAATTGTTACTTTAACCTTATCATCCTAAATATATTCATATGTCTTTAAACTACTAACAGCTGTTTTATTTGTTGTAAGGGCGAAATTTCAAAAGTTCAATAAAACACCGACCATTCATCTTTTGTGGGGGAGTTTTTTCTTATATACAATTGTATTGTTTAATTTAAAATTTCTTGAATATATAATCTAAATAATTCCTTGTTTAGAAGGAAAGTGAACAAAATACTTTGTTTGCATTTAAAATTAGGGGGAAATGAAATAATCATTGCATTTCGTAATAATTTTCTAGTTACTGTATGTTATTGAGAAATAGCTTGATTTTTTTGTTCGCTACTCTGTTTCAAAATAAGAAGCTTTTTAAAAGACTGTTATAAATTGATAGTATATGAATAAAGAAACTAAAAAAGCAGAAAAAAATGAAGGGTCCGTGTGCTTGTTTTCGAGATATAAGCCATTGAAAATTTGGCGGGAAATAATTCTCTCTAGATTTTTCGTACATTTATATATGGCATCTTTTTTCTTTCAAAAACAATGAAAAAAGAACAAGGATTTTATAAGAATTTCAAAGATGAAATTTTAAAATGTATGTAATCAAATTATGGAAAGAAAAGTAGGGGTTAGTGGGCAATATTTTTAATGGCACTACATGGATAAAACCAGAGGATTCCGAATATCTAGCAAAAGTTCAAAAACAAGTGGAGCGAACATCCTTAAGTCAGGGGAAAAAAAGTTTGTCACGAGAGAAAAACCATACCTCCTAAACAAAAATCGGTCAGTGCCTAAAATATAATTCAGTAAAAACAAATTCTGCAAACAGATCGCGGACTTAGAATATGTAGTTCTTTTGTAGGATGTTAAACATCCAAACTACTATTACGGCAGACTATAATTGTGTGGTAACCAAATAAAAATAGTCACAGATAAAAGAAAAAAATCAACCTTTTTTATTTTTAAGTCTTTTTGTTTGGTCTTAATCTAATTTGAATATCGGTCTATCGTAGCCTGCGTCATATGAGTAGAACGAAGTAAGAGATCTAATTTAATTAGATAGGTTTGGTCTAAATAAACAGGAATGGATTGAGGGGTAATGGGGAAGCAGGGTATATTCGCCCGATATCTCTTTTTTGTAGTACCTTTTCACGAATAAGACTTTGATATTGTGTCAAATGAAATGATAAATTCATGTTAGACTTGCAATTGCATTAACAGTTAAAGCAACACGTGCTTCTTTCGTTTTCAAACACACCTTCTCTGTTTTGAAACTTACGATATTGCAATTTTATTCTCTGGAAGGCGGCAAGAGGATGATAAATAACTTGGCCGGGTTAGAACTGAAAATGAATAACTTTTCACAAGACAGGATGAAAATGAATATTCTGCAGCACAAAATGCCAGAAACAAATGTTAGATGTAATTTTTCATTAACTTAAATCATACATGTAGTTAACAAACATGAGGTCAAGGGAAAGGTAAGGGTGTAGCTCATATCTAAATAATCGTGACAAGATTTTAAAATAAGACTTTTTTCGCAAGAACGTGAAGCCCTCAAGCAAACATGTAAAGTTCTTAAAATAAAATAATTATATCATAAAGAATAATACTCCTGAAAATCTGAAGAATGTTACATGACTGTGATACATTTTGTTGACCGAAACTGTATTGTATGTAATAATTGGTTTATCAAATTTTGAGTGTGCGTAAAATATCAAAAATAAAATTTTTTGAAGATGAATACATATCAATCTGAAGATTAATAGATATCAATCTGAAGATTAATACATACCAATCTGAAGATTCTTATGCTGTTATGAAGACGAAACGCGCGTTCGGCGTACCAAATTGTAAGCCTGGTATCTTGACGAGCTTTACAGAATAATACATAAATAAAAAACATGAATTATCAAAAATGAATGTTGATAGGTGTCTCTTTTCTGTGCTGCTAGCTATAGGAAACTATGTTGCTGAACCATCCTCAAATATTCTTTTAATCATCTAGATACGGGTTTCGCCGATTGTGACATTAATTTTGTTCTCAGTTTCTAAAAATCGTTTACATAACTTCTTTTTTTATCTACTTACATGCAAATTAACTTTTAAAAGAAATGTTACAAGGCAATTATAGCGAAAATAAATTTTACAATTGAGGGTTCGATGACCAGGGATATTTATAAAACCGTTCTGCCCCGAATGTTGGTACAAGTTCTCCAGTCATAAAGTGGGGATCAAAAGGTTTCAGCAGTATCCTTTACATTTTATTATTTTATAATACTTTGTCAGAACATTTCTCGAGCACCCAGATGCTCAAGAGAGAAGAGGGGACATATTATAGCAAACAAGTGCTGAGAATAATAGATATTTGCAAAAAAATACCCGTCCATTTTAAATAATTGAAACAGTTTAACGCGCAAGCGATGTTTATTTGCCGGACATCCAAATAAAAGAATGCTTAACATTGAAACTGCTTACTGCACTAATACGTCAGGTGTTTTTGAAAAGCGTTTTTCTAACCATCTGCCTACTGATGATTCCTGAGTACAAATGGTGATTTAGTTATATTTATATAAAGAAATACTTTACTTAAAAGTTCCACACATTTTTCAAACAGATTATCAATTTGCGGGGTGACAATAGAAAAACAAAGGATATGGGGTATCTATGAATGACAAAAAATCAGTACATGCACAGCAAAACACAAACAAAAAGCAAAGGAACAGCGCTTTTAATGTGGTTCTTTATCTCAAAGTCACAGTGAGACCTTCAACACGAAACCAAAAAATAAAACTCTCACCTCACTGCACGTTTAAGACGGCCCCTAGCACCGGTTTGAGCGCAATTCTTCGCAAAATAATTCGAATAGACTTTGAAAAATGTAACAACATCAAATCGGGCCCGGTCAAAAAAAACATACTGGAAAGTAGTACATATCTAAAACAAAACAGTTACTACGCATAGGTGTCAATATAAAAAATGTATGAATGAATTCTAAACTTGTGGGCATATATCGCCTGTTTCTCAGATATGAAGTACCTGGTATGGTGTATCCAAAAATCCGGTAACCAGTATGGTCTGATGTGTAAATAACGGTATATTGATCCCGCCTCCCAAAAATGTTTGAAAGTGAAAAAGTTAACGTGGATAGGTATGGGGGCTAAGAATAGGTGGTGTGTGTCTTAATAAAATTTTAGTACACAACCTAGCCTAAAATTGAGAGAATGAAGTGGCACCGATAAGAGAAATTATCTCAAAAATAAATACACCATAACTTTAGAAACACAGAAGAGCAGCACATTTGTGTAATTACAATACTGTTCCATTGTTATTTATCAAATTATAAACTCGCTTTCAATATCACTGCCTTCAAAAGATTCACATGAGCACAACCATTTCCGGGCTGAAAGTATGCAAAAGATTAGTATTCTGTTTGTTTGCGTACAAGACATATAACAAAATCATTTCATAAATGATCCTTACTAATTATGTCTAGATTTAAACAGAATAAATAAAGGTAAACAAACTTTGCCTATTGAACTTTACTACATGTTATATGACGGTAATGATAAATTCCTCATAACTCACAAATCCCATTATTTTATTATTCTATTAATCATATTTTTTGTAAAATGCATTATATAAATGAAATATAGAAGTCAGGATGGACTTTGTGCACAAAACTATAATAAGGTAAGTGAACACTTGATGGTTTGTCAATGCAGTTACTTGACTTTTTATTCATTTAATTAAATATTATTTTTCTATAAATCCAATTTATTCAGCAAGTTAAACATGTTGATACCATTGTAGATGTTTACTCTTATTATTATTATTTATAAACAACATACTCGTTTACTCTAAAACATTTTAAATGTCTATTTTTTGGATAGTTTCCATCGGGGGATATTTAGATATAATCCGTTAAACTAGCAATATTGTACCTTTGCAAGCATGTAGTCGTTCTTTAAAATGTTTCTTTGATGCATAACCCGCATTTTATATGCACTAAAAAATGTAACCGTATAGCAGCAAATTTAATAAAATCTTCTTACATAAAGCTTCCCTCCCTCGGAGAGCAGAAAATATCAAACCGAAACAAAGTTAGTACCAAATTAATCCCGAAGTCTATACCGTTAATGTTAAAGTTCAGGAATTATCCAAATGAAATTCAAACAATAAAAATACCTCTTTCTATTTTCAAAATTGTTACTGTTATTATGTCAGCAATCAAAATTAACGTTTAAACTCCACCAGGCAACACTTATCTTAAGCGTCTGATCAAATTGTGTCCTTTCGTGATTTAAAAAACATTTTGGCTGAGTGTGGATGCATAGATGGAGACTCTTACGCGATCTCGCTCCTGTTGAAAATTCATACGATTTCCTCAGTTTTTGTATAATCTATTACAATGATTTGTATCTTCTAAATCGATTTATTAGATTTTAACACCCATAAACTACTTAGTGCAAATAAAAAGGAGGAATCGAACGTTCTGTTTTAGGTCAAAATTTGGATTCGAATCAGTCCAATATAAAATTTTAAACCAGTCACTTTAAGAAGGGTCGTCGGTTGTTATCGTTGTCTCTTTGTGGTTTAAAGATAATTCGTTGGCGTGTTTCCGTTGAATTTATTGTCTTAACTTACAAAATCAAGTTTGAAAATACTGTGGATGTTTGTACATTGTATAAAGTCGTATGATGATATTAATTTTTGTTAAATGTGCATTTACACTGATATATATATTCAGAAGTCTGGTTTTTCATACAGTTAATAATAAGTAGATGTGGTATGATTGCCATGCTGACAACTATCCTCTAGAAAACAAATAACGTTCATTTAAGCAATTATAATTCACTGGACAGCCTTCAACAATCAGCGAAACCCATACTATAAAGATACCCGCTATAAATTAATGTTAAATAGTTCGACAAAATTAATGGAACGACTTGATTTATGTACAAAACAATAAACGAAAAACAAATATGAAAGACAACAAGCGACAACCATCACTGTATTATGGACCCCTGACTTGGGACAAACACTAACAGAATGTGGTAGGGTAAACATATATGCGAGCTCTAAACCGCCCTTTACACGGAACAGAGGTGTTACAGGACAAGTGTAAAAATCGTCAAATCGATACAATGTACAAACACAAAAAATGAAAAGACTTAATACACTAGGTACCGATCTAAGGTTACTCGCAGTTACTGAAAGCTAGTTCAAAGCCTAATGTAACTAGACGTTGTATTGTTTGTGTGATATACTCTTAAATTATTTATACGTTTCGATCTAGACTGTCAATGATTTAAACAGTCTAAAATTACACAATTCTGAAAAGGACCGAAAAGGATGAACCTATTGTTTTTACTAATTTTGGTGTATTTGATTTCGATGAAGTTTGATGAAACTTTTTTTCTTGTCTTTATTTTATAATTTTATTTTCAAATATGGGAAAAATTTTAATTAGCAGTTACGGATTCCATTACAGCTCCATTCTTTGGCAATATTGAAACCTTAAAAATTAGTTTTTGTATTGTAGATATCAATTTTGTTTAATTTCTTATTAGTATCAAATAGAAGGTGACATATTACAGGTATCACTAATGGTTTCAGGGTCAAAGGCGAGGGCAATTGGACATTTCTATGGTACCAGAATATTTATTTTTCAATCAGTTTTGACTTGTTGTCGTAAGTTACTCTCGATAGGGATTTGTTGATATTTTGGTGTTAACGCCACTTTCAGCACTATTGGCTACTTCGTGGAGGAAGCCAGACTGCCTGGAGAGAACCACCGATCTTCGGCAATTCTAGTCAGTTAAGATTGCAGTCGAACGCAACTGCCAAGTGCGTGATTAGAGCTCATGACCTCAACATGGACAGGCCAGTGATACTATAGATAAAGTACTTAAATCACTCAGCCACTGAGGTCCACTCTCGACATGAGCTTTTAGTACTACATGAACAGGATTCAGTAAAGCTCTTGCTGTGTATACGTATGTTTATGCAATATGGAGTGCTAAAAAACAAACTGTTGGTACTTTTTATTGTATTATTACAACGTTGCTAAGTCTATTGATAGTAATGTTGTCAATACAATACGAAAAAAATATATTGGTTAAATAAAAATCTGTTTTCTGTAATGAATACAGGTATATATCCAGATATACTTACTAGAACTGTGATGAGATGATTAAAGCTTTCATTTTGTCTTGAAAACATCTATATATTAAAAATAAGGAGATGTGGTATGATTGCCAATGAGACAACTATCCACCAAAGTTCAAATGAAGTGGATGTAAACAATTATAGGAAATGTTTGTTTTTTGCAATAATTTTATCGATAGGTTGTAGGCATGTTTGTGGGCAACATTTGCGCCACTTTTATAACAGACATGTTTCTGTATGGTTATGAATCGCAGTTTATGGCAAAATTCAGTCTAATTTTCCTTTAATCGATAAATGTAACAACACTTACCGTTACCTGAATATAATTTTGCTTTGAGTATTCAAAATTTATATTATCATACTACAGAATTACCCAAAGGAACTTACTTAAAATAAATATAATATCAAAGATAAATGCCCTTTCGTCGATTTGGATATTTCAGTTTCATACAGAAAACCCAAAACGAAAATTGATGATAAAAGGGGAACTAAAGATACCAAAGGGATATTCTAACTTACAAGTCAAAAATCAGCTAAAATTGTAATGGGAAAATGAAACATGACCAAAACACAAACAACAGTACACAAAACACAACATAGAAATTGGACGGTGATGCTCAATTGACCCTTCTTACCTTGTTTATTTCCCAACTCGCTCGCTTTGTCTTTTTTCTGTAGTGACGATTTAGATTTCAATGAACGTTATCTATGTATTACTGGTAAATTATTCAGTCGAGAATTTTGTTATCATGTATTACTTAAAACATTTACTTAATGCTTTCATAGATACAACTGTTTTGTTTGGAAGTTTGGCTATACCTGTATGCTATATGTGTCTGCCCAAGTCAAAGACCTGTAATTCAGTGGTTGTTGTTGGTTGCTGTCTATCATATTTGTTTTCCGTTTATTGTTCTGCTCACTAGTTGTGGAGTTTTTTCGTTTGAATTGTTGCACATTTTTTTCATTTCGGGGCCTAGTACACATGATTATAGGGTATGGCACTAGTAAATGAATTTAATTAGACTTAAGGATGTACTCATGTCAGGTTTAATAATTTTTGTTAGATGTTCGAACTCCTTTGTTTTTTTCCTACGATACAGGGTAAAATATTTTGCCCCATACCACCCACTTTTCTTTTCATAGAAGACTTGAATAGCTCATAAAAGGGTCATTACCAAAAGTAAAGCAGATTCTAGATTTTTTGCCCTACAATTTTAAACCAAAATAATGCCAATGCTAAATATAAGGTAAAAGTCCGAGTCCTCCTTTTCCCGCCATTTAAAAAAAATCAAATATCTCAAAAAGAGTTCCATAACCTAACAATAATTTAAGCTTATTTTGTTCCTTAACTAATGCTCTTCTGATTTATGGTATCAATTTTAAATTCCAGATTTTTTAAATTTCACCTGACTACATCCTTAAACATTCAAACGCACAATTTTATTTTAACATCATCTGACAAGTCTGAACAATAAATTATTCAGTCATATTCAGTCTTTCAATTAATATTCAGATTTATCCACTTAGGTAAAAAAACAAATAGCTTGCAGGCAATGCAGTACTTTTCAGTAGCTTTTCAGACAATTAAGTATGATGTTGATATGTACAGGTAAATACCAACTACTGCACTGTCTGAACACAAACTTAACAGATCTCAGCTAATTGCAAGCGAATTGTCTTATTAGTACTGAAATTACCGCATTTGATAAGTCCGAATATTGAATGAAAGACTGAAAATGACTAAATATTACCTTGGTAGATAGTTGTCCACTTAATATTGCCAATCCTACAACATTTATTATTCTATATAACATATATTCAGTTAATCAATATCGATACCTCATACATATCTGAAAACTTTGGAAAACAGTTCGTAGAATGATGATGACAAACCGATTATCACAACCTTACGGTAATGCTTTTTATAAAGCCTTTTAATTTAGAAACGATCCAAGTAACTTGTCTTTCTTTTGAAACAACATATTCTGAATGGATACTAATTTCATGTTGAAGTTAGATCTTTTGTTTTATCAGTACTACTATTGATTTTGTTTTTTGATATTTTACAACATAACTAAATATGTATTTCTTTATAGTTATGAAATGATATGGTCCTGTATATACTATGTACTTATATGGCATTGCATACGTTCATGCGGCGGGATTTAATAATATGTTGTAGTTGGCTTTTGAACTATCATTTAGTAACTGCGAGTACTGTTAAACCGGTATTAGTTGTTTTTGTACTTCTTGCAAATGTGTTGGGTCACGCCATTTTGAACTGATGCTTACAGTTTGTTTTTGCGTTGTTCTGATACATCACTGTTCGAGGTTATAGTGAGGATTGAGTGCCCATAAATATGTTTACCCCGCCACATTCTATATGTGCCTATCGGAAAGCAAGAGCCTGTAATTAAGTGGTTGTTGTTGGTCGCAAACTGCCATATTAGTTTTTTGGTATTCATTTTGGTCATAAATGAAGCCGTGTTATAGCTGACTATATGGAAGAAATTTACTTATTGTTGAAGTTCGTACGATGCCTAAATCCACGTCTTTTGGGTTTCGGGTGTATAGTTGTATCCTTAAAACATACCACATTCGTTTATTTTATATTTAATATATTTTTCAAAAGAATATCGATAACAGATGGATGCTTAAAACGTTGCATAAACAATACTATTCAATGGCTTGAAAAAGATATCGCTTGTCTTTTATTATACTGCTTGAAGAGAATTGAGAAATAAAACCAAAGTTATTAAAATAAAAGTCATGCCTGATTTTTCCATTTCATAAAATACAAAGATAAAATTCGGTTTCTGTGCCTTCTTACTACATGTAATAATGAATTTGTTACACATGTAACAATGAATTTGTTACACATGTAACAATGAATTTGTTTCACATGTAACAATTTTCACCGTCAGAGGACCAAACTTCCTGGTAATTGAAAAATACATTATACGTATATTTATAAACTGGAGTGTATTGACAAATCCAAAAAAGTCAAGAGTCATGCTACGAAAAGACCATCATCAATTTCACACAAGTGAAGCTTTACTAAGTTTATATACAATATAGGTGAGGGAACGTACCGTATTCCGGTAATATTTGAACATGTAAAACTGTTTTAATGCACAAATATATCTAACTTTATAGATCTACCTTATTGAATATTTCCCTTATATATTCAATAATTAATATATAGGGACACTGAAATAAAGCTGAAGATTAAGTAAATTGTTATCAATAAAGGTGCAATAAAATTTATTAATTTGTGTTAAAAAAAACCCACCAAAAAAACATTCAAAAAAAGAAAAAAAAGAGTGTATCTACAGAAAGTTATACTTTTATGGTTTTCCTATGAACAGTTATGAATACATTTGAAGTATATATGACCCATACAATAAGACATGAACAAATTACAAGTCTTTGACAATATTACAAAATCGGTCAGATTCTGCTAAATTCTCTTTTAGTTGTTTTTAAAGTAACAAAAACGAAGATAATCTGTAACAAATATTTAAAAAATTCTTATTCTAATGTTTAACGAAAACCCTTTTAAACACCACAGAGAAAAATACTATTGAAAAGATATCAAATTTGAAACATATGACATACAAAAATTGTTACAGACAAAAAACATTTCCATTTTACCAGGCTTATAAATTTGTATGTCAGATAGTCATTTCGTCTATTTAAGATTCATTAGTGGCACTCGAAACCAACAGCCTGGAGGTCAAAATGAATTACGAAAATAAATAGCATTCAGAACTAAAATATTCATAAAAGTTATGTCAAATCTAATTTACACTATTTGTGCATGTGTTTCGAATGCTTTTGATATGTTATGAAAAGTATGTTTCCACAAAATGACCACATCAATGATATTTCATGTCAATATAGGAGCTTTTACTTGACACTACTGGGCTGCTAATGGCCTCTTCGGAAAATGTTCACCAGCAGTGGCATCGACCGACCAAGAAGTTGTAAAAACTTTGCAAAGATATAAGGCTTATAATTAAGTATACATAGCATGGTATTTGAATGACTTTTGAATTGATTGTCATTTGAATTATTTTCTGATTTTTCATTGAAACTTAATTTACTGCGTTGCAAGTGTTTTGTTTAATTGTTACAATTACAAAAGTCATGCAAAATAAAATATATATTTTATAACCGCAATTCTTATATTGCAGAAATTTTTCAATATGAAGAATACAGTCGTTCTTTTTGTTCTTGTTGTTTTTGCAGTAGGTAAGAAAACCTATTTTTATAAATGATTCCATATGTTATATACCTTTGGTGCTTATTCACCAGTAACATTTTGAAGATTCATGATTCCGACATTTACCTAAAAAAAAAATCGTTCACACGTTGTTGTTGGTACGACCAATATCATCTATTAGAACTTGAAGCTATATGAAACACCAACACATCGATACACAGATCGACTCGTAAATCAATGTTAATATAACAATAAATAATGCATCTTCAAAATTGTTTATTTATATTTCTGTATAATGCACAATTGTCTTACAGAGAAAATGTAACTTTGAAAAGACCTAGTCCTTCTCAAATACTTAGTGTTTTTTGATTGAAAGTTTTTCTTCCTAAGGCTGAACATACGATGTATCTCGACTGTTCGCTACACTATAGAAAAAATCGTTAGCTAATGTTCCCCTAAATGGGATATTGAAATCTTAGAAGGTGATGAATAATGCTTGCAGTATGTATAAAATATCATTGTATCATTTTTGGAATGGTACATATGAAGTTGTTGACCAACCAATATCAGGTCTGTCGACAGGTTGAGAATTTATTGAATATTTGAGTGCCAGTCTTTGTAAGAATCAGGCAATTTAGAAAAAGTTCAAAACATAACCGAAAATACCCTTCCTATTTTGAATGTTCCCTCATCCTGAGTTAGAAATGGTAGGTCTTTCGTTTCTGCGTGTCTGGTAATTCGAGAAATATCTAGACAAATTTTGGTTAGAATGATAGCAAATTACGGAGTTATCTCCCCTTAATTGTGATTTTCTAGTGCATTTCAACCAAATTATATCTTGAATTACTAGAACAGGGAAAGGAAACGAATGTTATATTCGTGCACCATTACAAATTCTGAACTTAAATTAATGTAAAGCTGAGCGGGATTTTGTTTGTTATGTTTTTACCACTGCCTGATTATGAGGCAAATAGGCACTTCAGAAGGCAATATTATTATCAAGTGTGGAACGTTTCGCCTCATTGTTCCGTAAAATTGCATCACATTTTCTGGGGAGAGTTACTTTATAGAAATTTATGGATCTATGTTGGATATGGATATAAAAACTAAAACTGTGAAAAGATGGCATGTTCAAGTAAATCCCTATGTAACTGTTATGCTACTAGTACCTTAAATCATTTAAAGTCAAAAAGTTGTCCATATTTTAAATAATTCACCAGGGATCAAAATTTTAAAGAAAACATAATAAAACTGTGTGTTGCTTCATTGCGGTTCTAAGGCATAAAATTGAAAATCATTTTAATCTTAAGTTTCTTTTTTGTAAAATGTACCAATCTCTTCTTGATTTTTGGAACGGTTTTATCTTGAAATCAAGAAGAGCCAAATGCAGAAAAGAATTCAAAGTAGAATTGAAAATATCAAAAAGATAAATGACATAATTTCAAAGCAATATTTTCACTGATACAGGAATAACCATTTCCATAAGTATATGTCCGTTAAGTGAATAAGTGAAATGTTATTTTTATTTTCGATTAGGTATAAAAGAGTCTATTCAAGGGATATGTACTGACAACTTTTGTTCTAGCACTAAAGACAGCGCTGCTTGTAATGGATGTTGTATTGGTATTGGATGTAGTTCTGGTGGGAAATGCAGTGTAAAAAATGGAGTAACTGGCTGTCATTGTAATGGATGTACTTGTAAGACAATTTATTCAACCAATTGATACATGACCCAATGATATGAAAGATTGGTAGGATATTCTATTTTTAAAATTTCTCATTTCTATTTAAACATTTCTTACTTCCAAATTGAAATTTCTAAGTTAAAGTTGACATTTCTCAGTTTAAATTTGACATTTCTCAGTTTGAAGTTGACATTTCTCATTTCGAAGTTGATATTTCTCAGTTCGAAGTTGACATTTCATATTTCCATGTTGACATTTCAAGCAAGAAATGCAAAATAAAACTTGAGAAATGTCTAGTTTGAAATTAAAAATGACAAGTTTGAGGGTAAGAAATTTCAAATTGGAAGTGAGAAATGTCAACTATGAAATGGGAATAACAAGTTGGAACTGAGAAAAATTTTAAAAACTGAATGGGTGTATCGGTCTTTCGTACACAATTTAATCAACAGCAGTTGACCGATTTTTAATGTTCATGAATCGACAAAGAAGACAAAACAAAGTAAAAATCAAATTGTGATGGAATACCACAAACTCTAAAAGTACTATTGAGAAGGGGCGCATCGACAAGATAAAAGCCTTCTATTATGCATGCATCACCCGCCTGCTAGTTCACACTCAATTAACATGTAACATTTTGGAATATGACACAGCCTGTAAAATCATAGATTAGATAACTTTTCTGGTATCTAAGAATCTAACACTACGAAAACATGTCGTTAGTGAGTTGAAATACATATGTATCGTATCGGTCAACGGTTTCTTGACCTTGATAGTAAAACTTATGTGTGTCGATTTCAGTCGTTCTTACTCATAACTCTGTTGGAGCAGTTGTTGTGTACGGAGCATACCCTGCTAATAAAAGTCTGTAGACCATGAACAAACATGTGCATAACGTATCAATTGATATATGTACGATATAGCAAATAGTATGTTACTGTTGAATAAATGATAGTTGACAATTGGAAACGCATGTTTCATTATTTCTAGTTTGAAGTCGCCCATCTGTGTCAATATCGAGGAAAAGATCAAGATTTGAAGCAGATCTTCTAGTTCTAGTATCCACTGGAATATATGAGATTCAAACACCTACTGAAATATGGTTTATTTAGTAATAGGGCATCCCCAATATATCTGAAATTGAAACAAAAGAATTTTGCATGATGTTTATTTTTTCATTTTTTTTCTAAGAATATTTTGTATGAAGTCTGCTTTATATGAATACAAAAACAAATCGGTCATCAGTTTGCACATTTCATACATATTGGAATATTGACTGTCTGTTGAAATATCAGCCCATCAAACTTAACAAATATGTTATCGATAAAAAAAATAGGAAATTTCTAATATCATCTGTGGTGTACTTTTTGTGTGAATCAGTGTGGTTCTTCACAAAGTAAGAATTTTCATGACCAAACATGTGTCTTGGTTTCCTTTTTTTTGTAGAAAAAGTTTTTTTAAGGAGACGATGTTGTCGATTTTTTAACTGCGCATGGGGAATAGTAATGTAAAATAGAAAAATCAAAGGGTTTGGTATTACACCTATGTTGTAAAGATTGTGATTGACGATTTTGAAGTAGATCTTTAGATCTCGTAAGAATCGATATCTTATTGTTATCGCTGGTTGAATTAACCTCATTACACCATTTCGAAAGGCCATTTTTTTGCCATAGAAAGAATGGTGGTACAACTTAAAAAAAAATATATAGTTGAAGATCTTAACGATCCGGTTATGTAATGTTATTCATATTTATGATATTTGTGAAGTTTAGGTATGCAATATAGAAATGAGAGATTTTCTCTTCCTTTTTATGTTTAAAACCAAAAGACAGAAGAACGGTTTCGTGGTTTTCAAAAATATCCTCTTTCGAATTTAATGTTGGGGTATAATTTTATGTATGTTGGATTTCCACTTTTCCTGTTATTCTAGATTTAAATAGCGACACGGTCCGATTATGATTTTTGCATATAAAACAGTGTTGTTTGGTGCTTTATCTGTAAAGAAAGGATAAATGTGTTTCCTAATAGCAATGGAAGAAATGTGAAATTAGAGGGTCGCAGTTATTCCACACGAGAAAATCATTCATAGAATTATAATTCAATATGTGTCATTTTGTTTTTTCTACTGTTTGTTTTTCGATATATTATCCTGAAAGGGTCGGATGAATTTGTTTATATATTTAAAATTTAACTAAAAAAAAAGATTTCACAATGTTAAACCGTGATTACTTTCGAGAGAGAGATTAGGTCCGAATGTCATAATACATGATGTGGTTATTGTTTTTACACAGTCATAAACATTCTAATATGACGTTCTTCTTTCGCTTTGTAAACATCAGCATAGTAAAATTCTCGATTTATCTATACTTATAGTTTATATACAGATGAGAACTGTAGTAAGAAAACCAAGACGGGTTCAAACAGAAAGATTTTGAATTCAGAGAAAACTATGAAATCCAGGCTAAAAATAAAGCGTCTAGGTACTTTAATTCAGTCACGGACCCGCGATGTCGCGGGTGTGTTCTAGTTTAACATTTAAATAAACGACATATCCATTGATTGGAGTGTCCCAATGATGCTCAATTAAATAGCGTTAGTAAAATAATTATATGCATTGAAATCCTATGGCATTTATAAGATTGATTCATCCGTATTTCTGACACATTTACTCCTATTTTATTTACGTTTAATTCTATGAAAATGTTGAACCCCGCCACATATTGTATGTGCTTGTATAAAGCAAGAGGCCTGTAATCAGGTGGTTGTCGTTGGTTACTGTCTGTCATATTTGTTAATCGTTTAATATTGTTAGCTTAAATTAGGCAGTTATTTCTTCACTTTTGAATTGGTTCAGATTTTGTTATCCCGAGACCTTTAATAGCTAATATACGACACAAGCTTTGTGCATGGTTATTAAGTGTAGATTTATATTGTGTGTTATAATTTTACAGTATATGACGTGGACTGAAAAAAAATGGGTAGGTTATTGTGCACGTACAACTGCTTCAGCCTAACTAAATTATGTGAATTTACAAAGTTTGGCTATAACGACAATGGCTTTCTCGTTGTTTTTGTTTGTACATTTTTTGGTCTGTGTTTGTACATTTTTTTGTCTGGTATGAGTCGTGTTTTGGTGGTTGGTATTGTCAGTTTAATTGTCCAATATTTGAAGTAATTATATTACCATCATCTAATGCTGGAACTTGTCTATAAGCAAGCAAGTGAAGCTCCTCATAACTCTATCTACTGCATCTATCAAAATGAATTAATGAAATAATTCGTTCATGCCATGCTATGCTCATTTTAGCATGGATAGGCATTATATGTGTCAATATCCTTATACCGAGCGTTAGCGAGGTGTAAAATATTGACCAATATAATGCCTACCCATGTTACAATTAGCATAGAGCAAGGCATGATATAATTATTTCGATTCTGATAGGAATATTTAGAACTTTTGTACTTCGAAGCGGACCTATAAAACACGTTCGAAAGGCGGTCATTTTGATTTGATGAACCAAAACCGTTATAGAAAATCAACAGTTTAACTATAAAAAAGTTAACATATATATGTAAACTTACTTTAAAAATGATTTTATTTAATTTCCTAGCGAGCAACACCAAAACAAATGTCCTTTTCGATCTCCGGCGTTGTTCAAAATACAACTGACGTTGCAATTTCAATTGGGACGTCAATCACGTGCAGTCCATGTTTTATTGTAATTAGAACATGGTTTTGTTTCCAAAGCGAAAGAAGAACGTCATATAAGAATGAATTTGAAATAAAGGACACCGTGACACAGCTTAGTCTGCATTATATGTAGAATTGCATTTAGAAGGGAAAATGAGGGTTAGTGGACGATTCGACTTACGACAAGGCAGTCAGCACTTACATATGGAATATATATCTCCCAGTCGGCACGATGTTCCAGAAAGTGTTACTACTTACGAGGAAGATATTGCATCTAGGGTTCCAAATGATAAAGTTGAACTGATCCCTCCGAAATGTTAACGGACGTCATGATTTGGTTGACTGTTATGGAATATCTTTGTCACAGATGACAACGGATATGTTTCTTTTATCAAAACTAAAATCCCGTTCTAATTTTCTAAATTCTTACATCAATGCGGATTAGCACCGTATTTTCACTTGAACGAGGAACACGAGTACACCATATTGAACAGGAACTACGTATCCCTCTAAAAGACCTGGGTTCCTCCAGTGTATGATAATGTCCGTGTTGTTTAAGGTGTCAGACCACCAATTCACCCACTTCAATTTAGAACGTATGTAAAAGTAGCTCTTCATTGACAAAAAAAAGTGCTTTTGACGTCATTGTATACTTAAACGCACAAACAAATTTGCTGAAATGAAACTTTTGGTGAAAGTGAAATATATGTAGACCATTTAAAGTCAAAATCCACTTGTCAATGAGTTTGCATTAAAAATTAAGGATTAATGCGCTCCATAGTAAACTTATTTAAGATGTCCAGAAAACCAGGGATTATTTTTAGTAGTTCTTGACTTCCGAACGGTAGTATTTCATTACAAGACTTTAAGCATATGTTGAAAACTGGCATGTAAAAAGGTGATACATGTACAATATAGAATAAACCTGGTTTCTATGAAGTTAAACTTAAGGTAAAATATTAAGAAAGCTGTGAAAATTGCTAAATTTGGTTGAATAGATAGGGATTTTGAATTGGTGGTCTGACACCTTAATATACAATGTAAAGTTTTGTAATTGTTATTTGTCCTTTTATTGTATTTTATTCATTGACTTGTCTGTTTGTTGTACTTGGAATCTTTTCTCTCTATTTGTACGTAATGCACCTTGCAGATATCAGCATTTTTCATTCAGTAAACCACATTTTCGTTGTGATAAATGGTGTTTCCTTACGAAATATTTAGAAATGCATGTAAGCCATTGATATTTTAATTGCAATTAATACATTTTATTTGTTAGCCATAAAAGAACCTCATTCGACATGTACAAGCACATTCTGTTCTAATGAAAACCTCGATGATAACGGATGTAAAGGTTGTTGTTTAGGTATGCTAAATGGTTGCGAACCAATCGGATCTTGCATTAATTCACAATGTAAATGCAATAGTTGCTTGGTAAGTATTTTATTAACAGTATTGTTATATCTACTTTGTTTGAACTTTGTTATACTAAATCAATAACTCCATCAATGTTATCTTCACCACCCTTTTTAACAATTGCATGAAATAAGTTTTAAAAAATCCCTCCATTTAATCAACTCTCAGTATGTGTTTTGTTTTAAACACATTATTAATAGCATCAGTCTACCGGTATTTTAAGAAAAAAAAACATCTTATCATACATGGTTTATTGGTCCGTGTAACACTTATCAATTCAAAAGTTTTAAAAGTTTTCAAATTTTAGTTTTTTGGATTTTTAATAAAAGTTTTAAAATATCAAAATTCCAAATTTTTTATTTTTTTTTGAAATTTTAGAAAATTTCACCAAATAATTAAAATTTTAAAATTATAAACTTTGTTTAAAAATTAAATAGTTGAGATATTTAAGCAAACTTAAATAATACTAAACTGATCGTACAGTTTTGATCATTTCGATTTATGAAAGTTTGAATATTTTGATTTTTGATTAAAATATAGGAAAGGGGAAAGGACTAAAACGCGGATACCTGTTACAAGTGCGAAACGCAATAAGAATGAAACGAATTGAAATGATATTTACAAAACCAAATCAAAACGAAAACAATATTTTCTGAAAAACTAAATATAATATAAAACAAGAGGATAACGTGATTGATCTACAGAATGAAAATGATAAATATGGTTCTTTAAGTCGAAAAATTAATTAGTTAAACCTGATTTTGACACACTTGATTCTCTAAATAAATGAACAGCAAGCAAAACTTATTTTATTTGTCAACTTTGTGATTACTGCTCTAAATGTGGTTATTGATATTATATTATATTTGACTCGGATACCTCCACGAGGGGCTTCAATAATGCGGTACATTTTTCAGGTGCGGATCCAGTGATTTGAAAAGGTGGAGGTCTAGTTAGCCAACGCTTGGACTGATGCTTGTAAAAAGTATATGCATTCATCAAATATGTAGCACCATTAGGGGTTGGCGCCCCCTGCCTCTTAAGTCCACCTCTGTTTTTAAATAGCGAATAGAAGGAAACGAGATTTTTGATTTTTTTATCAAGGGGTAGTTCCGTATTTGTTATTTGCGCATTTGAAACTTTTCGTACGACAATCAAATTTGAGCAAAGTACGAGTATGCAGCTACGTCCAGTCAGAATGGGGCGTGTAAAGAGAGTGCCAGGCTCTCTGCACGATAAGAACTCTTGCAACAACTCGTTGGTTGCCTGTTGCAAGCCAAAATTTCTGTCCCTATCCAATATACCTTCATTTTTCAGTGACGATCTAAAGTTTTCGGACCTTCATCCTAAACGGATTCTATTACAGGACCTTCCTTTTGTATTTATTGTTAATTTGATATCGTCCTGAACGTGCATGAAATATTTGCCACTGGACGTTAAGCAGCCAATAATCAGTCATTTAAAATAAGCCGTTTACATATAAATTACAAAGAAACTTAAGACTCCCAATAAATAATAAAATTACAGAAACAAAAACATTAATCCGCCCATTTACTATTTCCCGTTCATAATAACATTTGAAGTGAATGGAATATCCAATAAAAAAAAAAATAAAATAAAACTTGACGGCATACTTCCGAAGCGCTTTTCTGTATTTACCTACAACCGGAACGATCAAAGCTGAATATTTGAAAGCCAGGTATATATAAGAACCGAAACAATTGAAGAGATGTATGGCCAAAAGGAACATTAAAAATAGCATAATCCATCTAAGGTCAACTTTGCCTGAGGGAGTTGAAACCTTAGTTTCTTTATAATTTATATATAAATGGCCTATTTTAAATGATTGATTATTGGTTGCTAAACTTTCAGTTGCAAATATTTCATGCATGTTCAAGACGATATCAAATTAACAATAAATACAATAGGAAGGTCCTGTAATTGAATCCGTTCAGGACGAAGGTCGGCATAATTAAGATCGCCACTAGAAAATGAGGCTATATTGGATAGGGACATAAATTTTGCCTTGTAACAGGCAACCAACGAGTTGTTGCAGGAGTTCTTAACGTGCAGAGAGTGTGGCACTCTCACTACACGCCCCATTCTGACTAGACGTAGCTGCATACTTGTACTTTGCCCAAAGTTGATTGTCGTACGATAAGTTTCAAATGCGCATATATCAAGTACGGAACTATCCCTTAATAAAAAGTTCAAATATCCCATTTCTTTTTATTCTCTATTTGAGGCAATATGCGCAATTGTTTCTCCATAGGCGGTAATGGTAACGTTTTCTTCTGTAGCTCAGTCCATATCGTAAACTTGGATATGTATGATGTCTCGTTTCGAAGCTGAGACATTTTTACATATGTGGTCAAATTTTCGGGGTACGAATTGAGATTCATTTTTCCGTAAATTAGCATATCCCGAAAATCCTTTCGTGATGCGGCTCTTCGTGGTAAAAAATCCCTTTTTTCACACAATAAGTTCTTTGAAAATTTAATACTTTGTATACATTTAAAAACTCCATAGTTTTTACACATTTATTCTATGGTCCTCTACTTTCCAAATCAACACAAATGGTAAAGCTCAGTCACTTGTTAAAAATAGAAACATGTCCAATATCACTACACAGAGATTTTTTGTTTACACACAACTTTTGTGTTCCTCAATTGGAGGCGCATTAGGGATATTGACTCATTTGAATCAGAGGTGGATTTGGGGGACAGGGAGCCCGCCAACCCTTAGTGGAGCTACAAATTTCATAAATGCATATACTTTGTACAAGCATCAGTCCAAATGTTGGCTAACTAGGCCCCCACCTTTTCAAATTCCTGGATCCGCACCTGAAAAATGTGCCATTATTGAAGCCCCTCGTGGAGGTATCCGAGTCAAATATACAGAAAAATCCTATAAATAACCACATTTAGAGCAGCAATCACAAAGTTGACAAATAATTTCTGCTTTCTGTTCATTTATTTAGAGAATCAAAGTGTGTCAAAATCAGGTCTAACTAATTAATTTTTCGACTTAAAGAATCATATTTATAATTTTCATCCTGTAGATTAAGCAAGTTAGACTTTTGTTTCAACTTATATTTAGTTTTTTTCCGAAAATATTGTTTTCGTTTTGATTTGGTTTTGTAAATATCATTTCGTTTCGTTCCGTTCTTATTCCGTTTCGCACTTGTAACAGGTATCCACTTTTTAGTCCTTCCCCCTTTCCTATATTTTAATCAAAAATCAAAATATTCAAACTTTTAAAAAGCGAAATGATCAAAACTGTACGTTCAGTTTAGTATTATTAAAGTTTGCTTAAATATCTAAACTATTAAATTGAAAAACGGAGTTTATAATTTTCAAATTTTAATTATTTGGGGAAATTTTCAAATTTCAAAAAAAATAAAAAGTTTGGAATTTTGATATTTTAAATCTTTGATCAAAAATCAAAAAAACTAAAATTTGAAAATTTTTAAAAATTTTGAATTGATAAGTGTAACACGGACCTTTATTCACGTTTCTCCAACATTTGGTAATTAGACTAAGCAACATTAGGGATTAGGGGGTCCTCTTAAGGACTGGCATCTTGATATTTACCTGTGATTCACCTGTATCTGTTCTTAACTAACATATTGTAAAAAGGGGTATTGTTTTATAATCATATATATTAGACGTGTTACGAAAAGGTATACACTCGACGCTGAGGTTGACAAATTAGACGTTAAATGTTGGGACTGTGTCAAAACATTGATTATCATTGAAACAGGTAAAATTCAATTTGCGTGTTGCTAACCAGGTATCCTTCACACTCCTTGGTTCATTAAAATTATACAAATTTAGAATAATCATTTTCTGATAGCATTGTTTGTGAATATAGGAAAACTTTACGTGAGTGCTGGGGGAGGGGGTCGATGGTTTTTCTAGTATGCACTTCTAGATTTGAAAAAAAAATCAAATAATAAGCCAGTTTGATTTTTTTTTTTATTAATTACGATATCAATCGGTCACTCCACTTATGAAGCTCGTCCTGAAAATGCATGAAATATTTGTCACTGGACGAAAAATAAACAACAATCAATCAATCTATACAAAACCTGCACAAAGGTCTACAGTCTGGTTGATTTTTTCGGATGTCTCCATAGTCTTCCACTGACTTTGAAAGTTTTTAAGCGCCTAATAGTCTGTTCCACATATACATTTTGTACCCGACACCCGAACGATAATTGCAAGTTCATTTTATACATTATATTCTTTCTGCTCTTGTACATGTATCTCTATGTTTATGACGCCTATAGAAGGTAACAAACGGAGAATGACATGCGGTATTTTTATTTTATCTAAAATGACAAAATTCCGGGTAATCTTATTTCAAACCTGGCCGATTGCAAGCAGTAAATTAAACTGTTGCGCATCATCTTGTTGTCCTAGGAAACTACTGCGTGTGAACATTATATGATTCCTAATGTCCACAAAAACCTGCGTAGGTATGCAATGCCCGAAAATTGCTGTCATTTGCCACTAATGCTTTAGGCATTTTATGCCACCCTTTACGTAGTTGTCGAGGATGTTCAATCGGCGAAAAGCGAGTCACATTTCACATAGAACCCGTACAAGAGAAATAACAATTTAAGTTTAAACTTGTTTTTGTTTGTTTTTTTAAATACTTAGTTAAAGTTAGAGTTAAAGAAATAAACACAAAAAATACATGCTTAAGGGTGTATATGAAAGGGAGTAATTTTTGGACAGTTTGAAAGGCTGGTCAAACAGGTTAGACAATTTCAGACCCCAGAAATAACAAAACGAAATGTTTTGAAACTTTGCAGGAATATGTATAAGATGTCTTTTTCCAAAGATCCTCTTCGTTGGGTCGAAACAGTCAC